CCATTAGTTAAACCATACTTATCTCGGAATTGAGCATAATGAAACTGGGAATGAGCAATTGTTATGGTTATTTATTCAATCCTTTCTTATCATGATTTTTAATTCGTAAAGAGAGATAAGTATTTCAACAAACTATAGTCATTGAAATGAGGTTCAGTGATCTTATGGAATAATTTCGTGACTGAATAAATAAACATTAAAGGAAAATTAATGGTCTGATGACGATAATAATAATAATAATAATAATAATAATAATAATAATAATGTAATAAACAGAATCATGTCCACTGAAATTTAAACAGTTTTAACTACGAAACACTGAAAAAACCTGATTTTATCTATTTAAGTTTAACTATTCAAAAAAGCATCTAACTTGTAAAGTCCTGTTAAAATAAATAGTTGAAAACAAATTATAGTTACACAGACTATACGTATGTCATATGTCGTTATGGATTAAAGGACAAAAAGAAATGTAATCAAAATTTTTGTTTAAGTATTACTGAATGGGTTCTGTGGAGGTGAGTTTTATTTGAAGATGAAATTTGTCGGAAAGTGGCCTCGGTTAAAATACCTCGGAAAACTAGGACTCACTGAGACTCCATAGAACTATTCCTGAACGTTGCTGCTACCTTGATATGGTGGTCGGGCTTGCCTATCGTGATGAACTAATCGAGTTATACTGGCTGGAACAATCGTTCCTTAAGGTCCTACCATGCCAGAAAGGTCGGTTGAAGAACGGTAAGACTAAAAGCAGCAAACCCAAGGTCCGAAGGCGAAGTCGTACTGCTGACTGTACAGAGGTGTGACGGCAGTAAGGTGTTTCCTTCAGACAGACAGCATAATAACGATGCTGCCTTCCTACAAGGAGGGGTGGGGTTAGAATAGGTCGACCCTGAAAATGCACACCTTGCCTTATCCCACGGATTTCCGTCTCCGGAGGCAAGGCCCTTTGAAGAACGGAGCTCACATGTCAAAAATCCCCTACAAGAAGTCCGTGCGTGACCGGCCTTAAGCAGTTGTCCCTTGGGCACTGCGATCACGCTCCCAGGTCGTTAAGACCAACACTAATCCAACTTCTTTTTCAGGTCCCTCAAGAAATACCCTCCCACGGTGTGGGCAGCCGGGAAGTGATACTAGCCCTCATACCCGTAACTGCACACGAGACCAAGTTAGTCACATTCAAATAACTCTCTTATCTCCACGAATAACCCTTCACACATCCCTTTATCACCTCGCACCGCTAGGGCAAACGATTCAAGTACACTGAACGTTATTCATGGTTCCCTGAAACCACAATTCAAACTATACGTACGGACTTTTAACATCCGAAAATTATGTCAAATAGGACAACAGGCCTCCTTAGCTAGGACTTTAGAATCTCGCACCATCGATGTGTGCTGCGCCTCGGAAACGTGCATACAGGATCCGAGTAGTGTCATTCGTTTGACCTCACCATGTCATAATAAAGAACCAACTCGATTCACACTTCGTGCATCTGAAAGCCCTGATGCTGCTTCCTGTGGCCTCGCTGGAGTAGGTATAGCATTGAGTCCTGGGGCAGAATTAGCTCTTTTAGACTGGATCCCAGTAGACAGTCGGAACGGAACAGTAAGGACTCAGAAAGATAGGGAAACTCGTCGTTGTCGCTTAGTCATCTTTGCCTACTCTTCCACTGACTGCATCACGGATGATGTAAAAGATGAGTTTTACAGAAAGCTTTCCGATCTCCGAAAAGCTAGGCGCTCTGATATAGTAGTAGTGGCTGGTGACTTTGATGCTCAAGTAAGTAAACTAAGCGAAATGGAAAGACTCTTGGGCGGATCTTATGGTGTGATGGCTCAAAGAACAGATAATGGCAACCGTCTGTTGCAGCTATGCTCAGATAACCGCCCATTTCTTGCAAATACTAACCTTAAGCACGAGGAAAAACATCTTTTGACATGGTGATTCCCGAATTCGTCCCAACGTCGGACCCAACTAGATCACATCGCTATCAGCCAACAATGGAGCGGCTCGATAAAAAACTGTCGCGCATTCTGGAGCGCATGTTTATATTCAGATCATGCTCTAGTGCGAGCACGTACCTGTCTGCGTCTCAATGGACGTAGGAAAGACACTGTAGGGAATCCTCAGGTTTCTACTTGATGATAGGCAAGCTAAGAATATATTTCAGGAAAAACAGTTAAGCAGCATGTAACTTGTAACCACCCCGAGTCAGCGTGGAACGACATCCGGAAAGCTGTGGAAACAGCAGTTATATCTGCTAATACAGTAAATCATAAGGTTAGGGAGAAACACTGGATCTCAGCAGCATCTACCACACTGATATATGCACGAAAATTCATCCTATCTGGCTCTAAACATAATGAAGAGCGAAGTCAGTTGAAGTGCAGGCTAATATGAAGTCTACGCAATGATCGCGAACAGTGGTGGGTAGCGAAAGCAAGAGAGATGGAAAAGGCAGCGGCAATAAACAACAGAAGACAACTGTTCAGACTTCTTAAAGAAGCCGGTACTATGAACCCAACTGTCAGCGAAACTATCTCGGGAAAAGAGGGACATATTATTCATTCTCGATCCAGGATATTGGATCGATGGGCAGAACACTTAGGGGATCAGTTCAACTGGCCTTCAGCAACACTTCGGTTTCCCACGAACCCCAGTCGACCTGAATGGCAAGTTAATGTAAATCATCCAACTTTTTACGAGGTTGAAAAAGCTATAGGAAATCTGAAATGAGGAAGGGCAGCAGGCCCTGACATGTTTAGCCCTGAGATTTTTAAGGATGGCAGTCCAGTACTAGTAGCGAGATTGACTGAGGTCTTAGATAGAATCTGGGAACTGGATGTAATTCCATCTGACTAGTCCCAATCACTGATTGTGCCAGTGCCGGTCTGTAAGAAAGGACAAAGATCCTCTTGTGACAATCCCAGAGGAATCAGTTTGACTAATATAGTGTCTAAAATATTAGCTCCAATAATACTTCGACGCCTAACCAAAGATCGTGAAGAGCAGATAACAGAAAACCAGGATGATTTTCGACCTGGGCCTGGTTGTATAAACCAGATATTCACTCTACGTCATGTCCTAGAACATAGACACACATTCAGATGTCCCACAATAGTAGTATTTCTCGACCCTAAGGCGGCATTTGACTCCGTTGATCGTGAGGTTCTGTGGCAGTTTTTGTCACTGAAAAGAAAACCAAAAAAGTACATTAACCTTATTAAGGCTCTCTACTCGAACACAACTGGTCGAGTTAGAACTTATGTTGAACTGTCATCAGAATCGATTACCTCAAGTGGTGTTCGTCAGGGTTGTCCACTCTTGTTTAACTTTGTCACTGACATGCTTTTAGAAATAACGCATTCATCATCTAAATCTGCAGGAGTTGAACTTTTACTGGGAGACTCACTTGTTAACCTAGAATATGCCGACGACATAGTTCTATTTAGTGAAGACGCTGACAAAATTCCGTCTCCTAACCACTATAAGCAACAATGCAGGCATGTTCAAGATGAGATTCTCCCCCTCGAAGTGCAAAATGTTACTTCAGGATTGGGTTGCATCGACACCTGAACTAATGATAGGGAGTGAAGTAGTTGAACGTGTTGATCGCTTCACATAACTTGGTAGTCACATCAGCCCATGTGTGACGAAATCTCAGCACGGATACAGAAGGCTCGACTAGCTTTCACCAACTTGCGTCATTTATGGCGTAAGACGAATTTACTGAGCAGCAGTTCGTTTCGTCCTACTTTATGGCAGTGAAGCGTGGCCGGTAAGAGTAGAGGATATTCGTAGGCTACTAGTGTTCGATCATAGGTGTATTCGAAGCACTGCTCGTATATCCTGGGACCATCGAGTAAGTAATGCAGTTGTTAGGAAACGGGTACTAGGTAAAGATGGCAAATCGACTGATGAAGTAGTGAAACTACATCAGTTGAGATGGCTGGGGCATGTGTTACCTATACCCAACCACCGACTGCCCCGACGTGCAATGTTTCATGGTGTAGGAGTAGGTTGGAAGAAAGATATGGGCGATCAGACCAAAACGTGGCACAAATCCATGAAGTCACTCACTGACAAGTGGACTGAGCCCTGCTGGTAGGTGTAGACTACCTGATTGAGATCCGCTAGATAATAGAAATCGATGGTTGGAGACGTTGAATGACATTGCTCAAAATCGTTTGCAATGGTGAAGGTGCATCCACTCTTTGTGTTCTTCCAAATTCTTCATGTCCCTATCTTTTTTCGCTTTCCAAATTTATTTCACTGGACTATACTCCTTGAATAACATCTTCAAACCGTAATCTTTTGGATTACTGTTTATACTCTTACTACTTGAACCGACAACTGCATCTCTGTGCTGGTGTGGTATGGCAACTGGCACTGATGTACGTACGTACGAAGTTCTACGTTATGACTGACTGACTGACTACAGAAGTATTCGCTAATGAAAACATCGATGGTCGAACTCTGAACATTTTCGTCTTGTGTGAAGCCCGTGACTATCAGACTTCTTGGTCGGCATTTAGTATTTTAGATTTTCAACTTCGACCGATTCATTAAACAACACATGATACTCAGAATAAACAGATTGTAGTTAGTGGGGGTTGGGTGGTCCATGACTGGCGTTTCACCTTGCTTGCAACTGCACAAGCTAAATGTACCAAACCAAATGAACCACGTGTCTTGGATTCCACTATTAGCCACTATACAAATTAAGTAAAACATAGGTTACTTCAAACGTATATTTTTTTTGAGTTTTAAGGCTCCATATGTATTTTTACGATTATTATAAAAAGGTTTATTTATAGTTTTAATTTGTAAACAATTTACTTGAACATAAACATTCTATTATTGTTCAAACTATTTGCAAATTCAACTCAGAAAAGTACTTGTTCATGAAAATAACAACAAATAAATGCTATATATATATATATATATATATATATATATATATATATATATAAATGCATAACCCAAAACGTTCAGTAGTCAACTGAATTTTCAATGTCTGCCGGCAAGAATATTTCTATATTCACAGATCTAAGAAATATCACTTTCGAATTTTGCTATCTACTAAATAAGGAATGGAGTCTATTATATTTGACAAAATGTATCACAGGCAGTACACTTGGAGTATTTTCAGCTTATATATTTCCTATATTCGCTATCATAGCCCTAATAACTAATTCAGTATTTATTTATGTATTTTTCAAGAAAAGATCAATTATGCCAAGGCATATGATATACATGTTATGTGTTTTAATATCGAGTGGATTGACTGATTTTATTATCGGCTGGTTATGGCTATTTCCAAGTAGAGGATTACCATATGCAACAAAAGGTAAAATATACTTTTCAGTGATTTCTTTATCATCAGCTTCATGTAAACTCTATAGACTTTTGCATTCATTTACTTCTACATCAATTGTTAATCTTCTTGTTCTATCTGCAGTGGATCGATGTTTAGCAATTAAAGCGCCTATAAAGTTTTCAAAAGTACAGTCACATCATGCTTGGTGGGCTTGTGGTATAATATATGCGGTCAGTTTTTTAATGATGTTACCATTTGGAATTCTTGTTAAATGGAATCGTAAAAAAGATGAACACTTTTGTTGGATTAGACAACCAGATAAAGTTCTGCATATTTATCATACATTATTTTCCAATTTTGGACCAACACAAACCGTCATCTTGTTATTTTTAAATTTAACATTCCTATTATGTACTCGAAAGTATTTGAGAAATCGATTTCTTCAGCACTGCACAAATAATACGAGAACAATGAGTCGTAGAGAGATGCGAATCTGTTTATTAAATCTAATTCTATCCTCATGTTACATTGCTATCTCATTACCACAAGCTATATGTCTTGTATTGGCCAGAATACCATTACCCAGTATGACAGCAATTCATAGTGGGATAGCATATGATATAGCCCATTTAATGTGGTCTTTGAATTCAGTAAGGGAAATTGTGGATTTTATCATCTATGCTATTTATTTTAAACCGTTAACCGAATTATTGCTTCAATGTTATTCGAATATCACATTTTTATTTTACAGACGTTTGAAACGTCTTACTACTTTTACTACTACTAATACTACTGATAATAATAATAATAATAATAATAATAATAATAATAATGATAATAATAATGGTAAAAATAACACCATCGTTCATGTTGTCAACAATTCAATGTAAACTAATTATACAACAATTTTAGATATGATTTTTGTGTTCGGTAAATGTAAGAGATTATTTATTGATTATTTTTGTACCCTTTCATCTTTTATTTTCTTTACATTTCTCATTTCAAATCATTTCTCATAGTATTATTTTGATTAGAGTAAATAGATTCATAGCATTGTATTCTAATATAATTGATTTCTATCAGAAGTGGTTTTGTGGAGATTTTAGTAATTTTGTAGTGCTTCCACTTTTGCCATGGTGGTCTAGCTTCAATTCACTCATGATCTCAACTCTATAAATATTTGATTTCGTTTTTTAATTAAAGGTTAGTGGATTTATATTCCAGTTTCTATAGAGTCGAATTTCTTATGAGAGGTAACTATTTTTAACTGACATTTTTCAATGACTAGCATTTGTTAGAAAAGAAATGTACACTAAAATGGTTGAACAACTGTATACTGGAATGCTATGTTTGTCAAAATTTGAATTTTTCCGCTACTAAGAATTTGGCTTGTTTGATTGGTTATGTGCTTGTTTCTTCATGTAAGTTGTTTAACCAATGAGGTTGGTTTTATCTTTACAAGCTATTTAATGACATATTATACTTTTAAGAAAATATATGACTTAACGAAACAATATGAGAAATCATATCACATGACTGAAGTACAACGAAGTTCGTATAAACCACTAAATTACAGCGAAATGAGTTAAGTACATTAAGTATTATTCGTATTCAAATGGATCAGTGATTGAAATATGTTCAAGGAATTATGTGGAATTATGAAAGAGAGAGAATCAGTCTACTGACTTCTACTTGCCCATCTGTTTAATATACAGTGCAATCGAGGAGTTCAATTTCTGTTATGGGAGAAATTGGTGATCTGTGGAACGTAAGTTAATTTAATTTAACAGCTGGACGCGTAAGATAACCATAAACATTTGAGGATTTATTTATGCAGCAAGTGATATTTTAAACATTTACGTGAATTGAAATGATTAGAATTAATCGTAGTGTAAAAATCACCTGGTATGAATGTTTCATACTAAAGATTAATTTTTTACTGGATAAGCCTTTATGGTGCCATTATTGATAAGCTTGATTTATGTTTATAATATGTAATAATCACCTAAGCGTAAGTAACATAACAACTTCATATGCAACAATGGTCACTTATTCTAATGATCGAAAGAAAGTCAAACTAGTTGTGAGACAAATGTTTCAAGTGAATATGTTCCTGAACACATTTCCGATGTTATTTTAAAAGAGGTCGATTGTTCTATTAATTCATTTATTTCTGATGAAATTGTTAATAAATTTTAAGAAAATATGTCAAATCCAATTCGAAAAAGGCACTATAGATTCAAATCTTAGTTCATGAAACAATGCGTTGACAGTAAGAAGTGAAGCAACAATCCGTGGGTAGTCTTAAAGGTAGTATCAATTCAGATTTCCCCTTAAAGTCCCGGCCGAAGGCCAAAGAAATTTATTCGACTTCAGCTTTAGAACCTTCATTTTCAACTTCTCAATATTCAGATGTTTTAATGGTACACGGCTGCTAAAGTTATACAAATCGGTTCAAGAGACAAATTTTCGGCCTGAAGAGGAGAGAGGAAGCTATATTAAAAATTTATGCTCAATTAATAATCAAAGAATGACGAAGAAATACCTTAAACATAACGTCAATAGTGGACCTGTATTCTGTAGACGAAAAATAAAAATGATTTTCATCGAGACAGAAACGTATACTAAACAAGTTGGTATCACCGTTCTACCAGTGTTACCAAAGAAGGATACCATATAATTTTGTGAGGGTGCTGAGAAAGCGAGCAGTGACTTAATTAGTTGGAGTGTGACTGACATGAAATTGATCATTTGTAACATGTAATCACACTTTATAATTTTAAAAAGACTTTTTGACAGCTATTTTTCCAATGATAAGTCCATTTTATAAGTCATCAATATAAATTTCATGTTAATCTCATCATTTGGTTATAATGGCATAAATGGGTCATTAAAATAATAATTAACGAAAGTGAATTGGAAGACAAATAAAAATCAAGAATTATTGTAATAGGTGGTTGGCTCCTATAATCCCTGTATAGTAGAATAACAAACGTCATGATCGAAACCGTATTGATTGTGACTAAGTCTCCAAAGTAAAGCTCCATTAGTTGAAATCCATAAAATTTGAAGGTGGTGCTTTATTTTTAAACGAACCGTTTAACCCTTAAGCTTTATTTTCCTTTCTGAACAACTTTGTCAACAAAAACTTCTGAAAATATAGATGAATTATTATCCAGCTTGATATTTTTAATAACGATGGTAGCAGGGTTTCGATGTTTCCTCTTCATTACTAATCACACAATAGTTTTGGAACTCTATGTTACTGTTTATGTAATTCGTTATGAGGTCATATATTCCGAGAGTGCTTCTTTTTACTTGTATGAATACTTTGTCACTAGATTTGCGATATTTTATCGGACAGAAATCAATACGTTCGAGTGAACTTCATCACTGAACGCCTATATGTTATGAAGAAAATGTATTATACTCTTATAAACACTCTACTAATTAGGACAGTTTTCAAACTGTTTTCGGCACTTGGTTGTGCTATATCAAAAGCTGAATGAACCTAATATATACCACTCGTTCCTAAAAACTATGTAGTCTACAATCATCTCACAAATAATGATAAATAATGTAGCAGCAGCTCCTATATCAATCGGCTTCACCATATACAAGGGGGAAAGCAAGTTCATGAAAAACAACACGGAGAACACCATCCTGATCACATTTGATGGCGGAACTCTAGAAGAGGTGTAAACATCCACGTATCTGAGTGGCATCATCGATGAACGTGGAGGATATGATGCAGATGTAAAGGCAAGGAGTGGCAAAGCAAGGACAGCATTCCTACAGTTGAACAATACATGAAACTCAAAAAATTGTCTGTTAGCCAACATCAAATTGGGAATTTTCATTACGAACGTCAAGACAGTTCTACTGTACGGAGATGAAACTTGGAGAACTAGCACAATCAACATCAAAGTGGTATAAGTATTTATAAACATTTATCTATGAAAGACACTAAATGTCCGTTGACAGGATACCATCAGCAACAGTCTACTGTGGGAGAGAACAAACCAGCTTCCAGCTGAGGAGGGACTTAGGAGAAGATACTGGAAGTGGATAGGGCACACACTGAAGAAATCATCGAACTGCATCAGGAAGCGAGCACTTACTTGAAATCCTGAAGCGAAACGAAAAAGAGGAAGGTCAATGAACACACTGCGCAGGGAATTGGAAAAAGACGTGAACTGGATGAATAACAACTGGAAAGGATTGCTCAGGATAGAGTTGGATGGAGAATGTTGGTGGGAGGCCTATGCTTCCCAATGAGAGGTAACAGGTGTAAATAAGTATGTAAATAATATATATATGATCTGGTGACTTAATAATTATCCAGTAAGAATATATGTAATAATAGTCAATATATAATTCATAGCAGTGATCGTTCATTTATTCTTCGTGTGGATATAACACTGACTGTCACTGACTTGAATTTGTCGAAAATTAAACAGAAGGGTGGTCATTTAACATTTCAAGGTTACTGGAATTAATATCCAGATTTTCAGATGTCTGCTGTTCTAAACATTTGTACATAAACTATCTACTAGAATATGTTTTGTCATTTGATATATTATAAGAACCCAATAATCAGAATTTATTCTTAAAAGCGAACACTGGCATATATACTATAAGAATAAATTAATCTTTAACAAAACTGTTTTATCAAAATGTTAATTAACTGTAAAAAAAGTAAATGATAGGGGAAAGTGATACAAGTTATCAGAAGGGGGTTTTGTGGAGATTTTAGTAATTTTATATAGTTGAGATCATGAGTCAACTGAAGCTAGACCACCATGGAAAACCTGGAAGCACTGGACGGCCGTTTTCCACGATGGTCTAGCTTCAATTGACTCATGATCTCAACTATATAATACAAGTTAGTAAAGATGAAAATTTCTTTACTTCATACAAAGCATATTACTCTCAGAAAATGATTAAAATTAATTGGTTGTAATGGATTGACATTTTGTATAGGAAACCTTTTCAACTAACATGGTCTTGAAACAAAATCTAAAACAAAATTGTAGTCATCAAGAACGCTATGAGTAATCAACATCATACGTGAGTGTTATGTAGCACCAAACTTTACAAAACAAAGATAACAATCAAATTATTGCCTTCACGTTTTCTTGAATACTGTTGGTAATCAATACTGTTTTACAATGAAGCTTGTGAAATAAGTTGTAGTTTCCTCTGTGTATTTCCGAGAAGAGTTGATATCCTATAGTTAGATTTGGAAAATACACTGTACATAACATATATCATCAGGATTTGCACGAAAGCCTGCACGATAAACGAACACTAAATGTATCTTAGATATAAATAGTTGAAACAGTTGAAAAATACAGCGATTGACAATAAAAGATCTTAACATTCACTTTAACTACTTACAAAATTAAAGTAGATTGTCAATTTCAGCCAAAATCATTTCACAGACACTTTTTAGACAAAATGAAAAATAACAAAACAGATGTTGCAGTTAAAAACTACTAATTTAATTACTTAATGAAATTATCCTCAGCTGCTGAAATTCTAGGACAAAATTAATGAAAAATGCTTTTAATAAATGTGGTCGTGGTTTGAACATATAACATAAAGTGTCTGAGACGTGACGTCACAAATATATTATGGCGGAATCATAAAAGTGAAATAACCATTATTTTTATGATAACTCATATCGTTGATTATTGTTATGATACATCCATGGAAGTATATCGAAAAAAACAAGAAAATAAAAGTGCAAAAACCGATTTTAGAGGATTTTTACAAAACAAAATAAACTGATCTCAGTTATGTTGATCAGATAGTGAAAAAATGATGAATAAACAGTACTTGGCTTACAAAGTCAAAGTGAAAAACATCTGTTTAGTGCTACCAAAATTATCAAAAGAATTAATCGCTCGAAAACAGATTAGATATTGACATGATTACTATATGGGAACTTTGCAGAGATTATTTAATTCTCTATTTAGGCCTCACGGACTGATTTTTGTTAAATAACCATTGGAAAGTGGAAAGCACTGGACAATTGTTTCGT